TGTACTCAAATTTTTAATTCAGTTATACCCAACTATGGTTTCACCGTAGTGTCAAGGTTTGAAATGTTATGTCAAGGTTTGAAAATGCACATTTTACGGGGCTCTCACGAGATAAAGGGTTTCGTATCTAGTCATCTCTGGCTATACACTACATACTAACTCATATACATATATTTGTGTGCGTTATATCTTATCTATGTTATAAGTATATTTTCTCTCTTTCGCTGGGAAGTTCTGTCTACGTTTGCAGCTCTCACTTCAAGACGAATCTATAGAAGTTAAGTTGTCGCGTCATATTTACATCATAATTGTTCTTTCATCCATTTAAAAAATTTACACAAACAAAATCCATTAACAATCAGACGTTTGATCAGACTAAAATGTAATGTTCATTGTATTTTGAACGAGTTTCTTTTTTGAAATTTGAATATATGATTAAATAAAAAAATGCATAGGCTTTTTTCTATTGCGACGACAGTGTATAAATTTGCACCGATCTCACTCATTCTATCTGTGTGTATGTTTGTGACAGCCTTGATTTTTTCTCATTCTCACTTATACAAACTATATAAGTACATATTTTGTCTCTCTGTATGAACGTATTTCCAAATTAGTCTCAACGCTAAAGAAGTTTTATTTAAAACAGCCAATTTGTTAGAATTTTCAATTTTGACACTTTGGGAGCGATTTCACTTTTGTTCGAATTTCTACGCATATATTCCTATATGATTGCCGAATGGTGTATTGCCAAGGCTGAATTATTAATTTTACTGGAGGCAGTTCGAGGCGGAGGTATAAAACTTTGTTTAATACAATACACATAAATATGTTGATTGAGAACTATTTTGATTGCGTACCCATCTTCACTAGCCTAATCACTATTCGAAATGTACTATGTGTAATAAACTAGAGTTATTGTCTAATCAAAGTATGTTATTTAATAAAAAGTAAATTTTAATTAATCAGTCATATCTTTCAGGGATCTTTCTTGAAAAGATGTAACCAAAGAAGGAGTTGAAGGTGTAGACTGAATATATTAATCACACGCTTAATAATATATAGTATCTTATATCCTATCGTCCCTTAACATTGAAAATACCTCCAATATTTTGTACTGGTAACAATCGGAGAGTCTTGTATAACACACTTTAAGATATACCATATTAATTTAAGAGTAAACTCAAAAAACTCTTTTATAATCCGCCCTATTTGTGACGAACGGTGAGGAACGTGAATAAAACTCCAAAATGTGAAATAACAATTAGCAAGGCTATGCACTTAATATTTGTTTCTTCAAACGCCGCATTAGAAAGTTGATGTTATTTACTAGTTCTGAGTGCGATAGTGAGTTTTTTCGGCACTGGTTTGCTATCAAACCCAATATTTTGTCGGCAGTTACAAATCGTTTCTTGAATGAGGGGTCAGAATTAATCGCTCTAGTACGTCTTCAGTGCGAGAGCTGAAGTTGATTGACAACATCAAGAACAAACTAAACAACAAATCTCGCTCAAACATAGCAATTTCAATAGTTTTTCTTATGATGTTCCTTTTTTATTGTAAAATTCGTACCTCGGTATGCATGTTAAACATTACATCAAATGCCTCTAAAATTTTGGAAAATTTTGATCCGTTTGATGTAATTTTCGACAAATTTTTTGTGGGCAGTATGTCAGCCATAACTTCACGAATGTTCGTTTTCCAGTGCTCGCGAATTAAAGATTTATGCATATAAGCAGTTTTTTCACGTCGTACTTTACTGGCGTAGACACCGCTTACTCGTTTATAACCGATTTAATAACATTGCGCCATTCGTTTGTTCTGTTTGCTGTTTGGTGATAACTGGTAATATTAAATACAGCCAGGTCCTTCCCTACCTGGTCTGTCCAAAGGTATTGCTCTTCATCTGCTTTCACCGGCAAGAACTGCATCGAAAACTTTCTGGTGTTTGTTGGCGGGCATTCTTTGATACACAGAGACGCGTGCGCATTTTCGCTGCGACAAGATAACAATCCGAATCGATGTTAAGACCTCGGAACATTCACACATCTAAATCACTAGATATATGTCTTCCGTCTATCACAACCTGATCGACCATGGTTTGTTGATTTAGAGACAGCCAAGTAACTCGGTACATTATCATTATTTGCGTATGTTTTGTCGTAGAGGCTGAATTTTTCGACAGTTGTGTTGAAAGTACCTTCCTTGCCTACTCTGACGTTCAAATCGCTAAGCACAATTTTGACATCGTGTCAGGGGCAGCGCTCATAAGTATATTTGAGGCTCACATAGAATGCATTCTTGGTCACATCTTCTCTTCCATCGGGGTAAATTAGTCTTGTGTGGGAAAATTTGTTTTTGGTGCTGATTGTGGTGAAACGTTGATCCACCGGAATGAAGGTTAGAACTTGGCGAGAGAGTCCCTCTCCCACCACGAATCCGACGCCAAATTCGCGCTCTTTAATATGGCCGCTGTAGCATATTTCACAAGGGCCCAACTTGTCCTGCGGCATCTTCTTAATTAAGGGACCGGACATTCCAGGTGCAGGCCATCAAAATGTGGTCGTTAAAACATTTGCTGAGCTCACTATCAAAAGGGGGGTCTCTCATCCGAAACATATTAGAATTTTTCATTGGAGTATATACCCTACGCACAACCGCATGGGATTCGCCTTCTAACTTTAGCTCGCCGCTAAACGTATTTTTGTTGGCTACCCAGGGGATACTGCTAGCTAACTGAAAGCTAAGAAACTTGATTACACCCAAACTACATATTATATATATATAAATAGACAAAATAAAAGGGGAGTTTTCTTTACGATAAGAAACATTTTTTTATATCTGAGAGTTTTAACTCATTAAACTTTTATGTGATTAATTAAATAATTAATATGTTGAAAGCCGTGTGACAACCCTACGCTCAAATACATATATTGTACACAAATAAATTTAAGAAATATCAACAACGAATTAATTGATATCTGTATGCTACTTTGTTATACTTCTTCCACCCTTTACGACAGTTCTCAAAGTGAACCATTAAGTTGAATTAAACAATAAAAATGTGCATTCTAATTATTCACTTGGCTACGTGAAGTACTTGGATCAGTAGATACAAATGTCAACATCCAACTATCTCCCGTTTACTCGATTATAGCCGAATCATTAACAGGGCGCTGTTTGGCGGCAGTTGGAAATACCAAGTGATATGAAGTCGCCCTCCACATAATAATTTCAACGGAGTGGAGGCCTACATCTTTCTCTGTTTCTACCAGTAGGTACTGAATCGAAAACTTTTAAAGCTGGAGTGATTTCAGCCGTTCTGACGACATGACCTAGCCAGCGTAATCCCTGTCCTTTTATTCGTCTATATGTCTATATCATCGTATAACTCGTACAGCTCATCGTTCCGTTGCCAATTCGCAAAGGACCATAAATCAATCGCAAAACTTCTCTCGAAGACCGCCAAAGCTTACTTATCAGATGTCGACATCGTCCACGCTTCTGAGCTATATACTCTTCTACTTTATTGGCGTAGACACCATTTACCGCTTTCCAACGGAATAAAGGTCTTAGGCTGCAACTACCCATTTCACTTACCAGCCGTCCATAACTGGCGATGTCGAGGCGAGATAAACACACGAGTTATCGACGCCGCTGAGAGCGGCGAAATATTGCCAGCTGCCTGTGTATTTGCACACTTTTGAACAAATTCATAATTTTCGTCAACAAATTTCATAATTTATATGCTTGAACATAAACACAAGGCAAATATACATGATCTATATGGTAACAAATAATTAGTTACGCATTTATTTTTCATTTCTTTTGAACAAAACTACGCATTATCTTCGATTATTTAATGTTACTTTAAGAAAGGCTATACTGGTTTTACGGAAAAAATCAAAACTTCGTTGGTTTCTGCGACACAAACGTCACCAACGCTATGGGAAAGCGGTGATAACTTTGTGTTTACATGGCGCTCTCATAAGATAGGTTACTATGGACGGTTGGTACGCGCGTTGGGTAGTTGCAGCCTCACTCTTCCTCTGTTTCCATCGGCTGCAGTATTCGGCGTTATCAACTCTTAGATGACCGCGCATCTTACGAAAACTTTTCTCTCGAAAGCCATTAACGACGACTCATCAGATAATGTCATCGTCCATGCCTCCGCACCGTATAGCAAGTCGGGAACGATAAGCTACTTGTAGAGTTTGTTTTCGTTCATAAAGAGAGAACATATTTTTTCAAATGTCTACTCAGTACAAGTGCGAAGCAATCCTTATCTATGGAAATGTAGACCATTTAATTCCCTAGATTGACCCTGAGCTTTGTTGATTTAATATTCATATATTATATATNTCGGTTTGTAACTGCTGAAGTGAATTTCAGCCGAGCTCTTCATCTAATTTGTGGTTTTGCGACTTGATGTTTTTCGAACAAGTGGAGGGACCTACATTTTATACTAAGCCAGCCTCGAACGGCTGACGGTTTTTTTTATAAAAAACTTTTTGTTTCATGTCAGAAATACACTTGATGGGGTTGGCATTCCCTGCCGAGGGGCGAAAATTCCAATTAGAAAATTTAACTTATTTTTTTATTTAAATTAATTTTTTATAACTTTTTGGATGTTAGTCCGACACCAGGATTTGAAACCGAGCCCTCCTAATGGCAGGACGCAATGTTAACCACTCGGCTACCGTAGCCGCATATGATGGAGTTGGTAAAGAAAATATCTTGTTGTTTGCATGGTCGATGGCTAAACAAAAAAATTTGTTTGGTATCCAATGTTCCATTTTTCATGCATTCAAAGAGCATGTACTACAGTGAAGCGTTCTAGAGCACTGCTTGAACATTTTATTTAGTATTAGATGAAGCTCAAATGATCACTCATAATCATTCTTTACCATTCGCCTCTTTATAATACTAATTAAAGTATCTTGTTTGCAGGTATTTTAAGAAGATCTAGGTGAATATTCTTATATCCTCTCATTTTCTATTAGGACCTATTCGGATCTGCAATTTCTTGCTTCGCGACGGGCGGCAGCTGTCGCTGCTGCTGCAACCGTGTTACCACCACCGCCTCTTTTGCCGGCCGCAACAGTAGCAATGACCGCATCAGCATCTAATGGAAACAACGGAAGTAATGGAAATACAACCAATAGGGGAAATGAGTGCAGTGGTAGTGAAGGTTGTAACGGCCAAATGACGTGTGATGTCAAAAGTGCGACAACAACAGCGATCCATCATTCTCTGCCCCACTCACATCATCATGCGCATGGACCTATACCGCCTCCTACAGTACAACCCCACGACTTTCATCCAGCTTATAGAATCCCAAGCTATATGGAACATCTTTATTCACTACAACGCACCAGCCCTACCGCATCATTTCATGGTAAGTATAAGATTGGTATTTATTGTAATTTTATGTATTTTAACAAAATTTTAAACCCCAAAATTTAACTAAATCAAATTAGTATAATATTAGAATAATATTGAATTAGTTTGGTGTCTTTTTATTAGGGCATAACAACTTTAATTACTTTATATTTCTTGCAGATCCATACAACCGTTGTCCTTCAACTTTTCATTTGACCGGATTAAGTCTGAATTCCAATGATTATTTAGGAGTACGTGCTGTTAGTTCGCTTGGCGACGTACATCCAGTTACAGCTGCTGCAGCTGTAGCGGCAAATTCATTAACTAGCACCGATTTTCATTTCAGTGTCGATGGGTCTCGGATAAACAGCCCTCGGCCGGGAAGTATACGTACCAGTATTAGTCGAAAACGAGCGCTTTCCTCTTCCCCGTATTCTGATTCCTTTGATATAAACTCAATGATACGATTTTCTCCAAATTCATTGGCTACAATTATGAATGGGTCGCTCTCGAGTAGTGCTGCTAGTGGCTCCTATGGTCATTTATCAGCAGGTACAATTAGCCCTGTGCCACATTTGCAACAACTCCAAGCACATTTACTGCGTGCCAGTGCCGGCTTGCTACATCCTCTGCCATCACATCAAGCTGCCGCCAGTATTTTTGCAATGGGCCATATGCACCCATTACAATCAGCTGCAGCAGCAGCGGCTGCCGCTGTAGCGACAGTTGTCAATAATGACGTTGGTTGCACTAGTAACGCTGTGCCACCAATGAATAATAATAACAATAATGATATTGCCAATATAACTATTCCAAGCGATGCTTCCAAGGAACCTTTAATAAATAGAAAACTGGTAAGTAGTTTTATTGCAGAATTTAAGTAGCGAAAAATTATTTTGGTATCTTAGATTATATTCCCGTATTGTGTTTATCATTTAATAGTGCGTGCTACCATGCGGAAAGGCATAGGTTCAAATCCTACCAACATATAATTTTATATAAAATAAAAGAAATTTGAATTTATATTGTGTTAAAAATCTTATATTTACGATTTGTCTACAGTTTTTTTTAATGCAACGCAGCAAGATTTTTTTTGTTCCGGCGCTTAAATGTACGGAGAGGATGGTTTTCCAACACGTAAGCATACCATTTATAGCTGGCTGTGTACAAAAAATGGCATTTCCAGATTTATGTCACCACTATCAGCGACTGTCCTTGTGATTGATTGTAATCGTAAATGAAAGTTTCACTGAAGTTAAATACATTTGAAGTGAAATGGCAAATCGTTGGAACTCAAAGGAATTCGCAGAATCAAGCAAGTAACTCTTGTGATTTCACTTCTCCGTTTGCGTAAAACAATCCGGGTGGTTCTTTTGGAAATTTATGTTGTTGCTAGCGTTGCCCTTGAGCAGCCAAAAGTTCTTTTGCTTCATGATTTTCCTGATCACGAACTTGTTATCTTCTCAATCATTGCAGCTCTTTGTAAACTACGTAAGCCTCTTGCAAATTTTTGGAATTTTCCAATTTTCCGATTTTCCACAGGAAAAGTAGACGTTTGTTTTATTTCTAAACCTTTCCAGATCTACAACAAACAACCTCTGAAAATTTCATCAAGATAGCTTCAGCCGTTATCGAGCCGAATCAATATTAACGCGCCATTCATCTCTTCTTTTCGTTACCTGGCGCCAGTTGGAAATACGAAGTGAAGCCAGTTCGCTCTCCACCTGATCCTCCCAAAGGAGTGGAGGTCTTTCCTTTCGTACGCTTCCACCAGCGGGTACTGCATCGAATATTACCAAAGCTGGGTGCTTTCATCCATTCGGATGACATGACCTAGCCAGCGTAGCTGCTGTCTCTTCATTCGCTTGACTATGTCAATATCATGATATAGCTCGTATAGCTCATCGGTATTCGCCGTTGCCAATGCGCAAAGCACCATAAAAGCCAGCAGCAGCACACTGGTTATAGAAGATTTTACCTTCCCTATTCAGCTCGTATTATTTTCTCCAGCATCGAATCAAAGAAGTAACAAGATAATAAATACGCCTGTTTGAAGCCTCGTTCGGTATCGAACGGCTCGGAAAGGTCCTTCCCGATTTTGACGGACCTTTAAGTGTTGCATAAGGTCATATTCAGACATAGAGGCGTAGAGGCAGCACCTTCTCGTGCTGTCGAAGGCTGCTTTAAAGTCGACGAAGAGGTGTCTCAATTATTTTTTCACGGTTTTTTTTTTAATTTATCGCACGGTGAATATCTGGTCTGGCCTCACTGATAAGGTCTAATCAGTTTGTTAACGGTGGGCTTCAGTCTTTAACACAATACGCTTGATAGGACCTTATATACGATGTTAAGAAAGCTTGTTCCACGGTATTTGGCGCAGACTGTAGAATCGCTCTTTGGGTCCACCGTACTCACATGGTTCATCTTGACTGCCATTCAACAAGCTGGGGAAGTGTTCATACCATAAATTCAGAATACACTGCGCATCCGTCACTAGATCACATCCGGGGTAAGTCGTAAGTCGCCGTATCTTTTCGTTTTCGAGCATAACCCTTGTTGGGTGGCTTGGCACGCTCTTCGCTCTCACGCATTTCGGCCCCTTTCTTTTTGGTCTGCAAATGCGTCTTGCTTGTTTTTCAGCTCTCGGTAACTATGCTACCCTGCACGTGTTGCTGTCGATCGCAACGTTGCGAGGTAGGTAGTCTGTTTTCGCTCCACCGCGACACGGCAGTTTGTTTGCAGATGTACGTAGGAAGTTTGCGATGCCGTCCCACAGGTCCCGTATACCGAGTTGCTGATGAGGGCTCTCAGAGAGCAGTCTGCTGTGATTGCAGCTTTTTAACGTCGAACCTTCCTGGTGATTTTTGACGGGCGTTCTTCGATACACAGAGGCGGGTGCGTATCTTCGCTGCGACAAGATAGTGATCCGAGTCGATATTAGGTCCTCGGAATTTACGCATGTCTGGAACTCATGTCTTCCGTTAATCACAATATGATCGATTTGGTTGAGTTTTTCGATTTGCAGAAAGCCAAGTAGCTTGGTGAATTTTTTGTGCTGAAATCTATTGCTACAAACTATCATATTTCGGGCCCCGGCGATCGATTAGCCTCAGCCCATTTGAGCACGTTTCGTCGTGCTGAATTTTCCGACCGTTGTTCCAAATATAACCTTCTTTGCCTACCCTAACGTTTAAGTCGCCAAGCACAATTTTGACGACGTTGTGGAGGCAGCGCTCGAGACGTGGGCGCAAATCAGCGTGGGGTTAAAAAATTTTGTTTTGATTTGGATCGTTGGAATACGTTCATCAACCGGGGTGAATGTCAGTACTCGGCGACGAAGTCGCTCTCTCACCACGAATCCGACACCAAATTTGCGCTCCTTTATATGGCCGCTGTAGTAAATGTCACAGGAACTTACTCGCTTTCGTCCTTGTCTCGTCCATCGCCTCTCGTGGACGGCGTTGATGTCAGCCTTTAACTTTATGAGGACATCAACCAGCTGGTCAGCGGCACCTTCTCAATTAAGGGACCGGACATTTCAGGTGCATACCCTCAATTCGTAATCCTGAAAACATTTTGCAGAGGTCGTCATCAAAAAGAGGGTCTCTTGTCCGAGGCTTATATCGATTTTTCATTGGGTTAGGGTTTTCATGAGATTCACCTTCTCATTTTAGCTCGCTAACTTCCCGGAGAAGAATGTAGTGTTCCTGTCAATCGAAGCAAAAGAACCACAAATAAAATTTTTTTGGAATAGTCCTTCTCGGAGATAAGAGTATTCCTATTATTATCAATAGACCGGGCCCTAGTCTACATCCCGGAGATAAGTGTTAACTTAAGAAAAGAGCTATTTATGTACCGAATTTCAAGTAATTCGAAGCGTAAATAAGATTTCTTCAAACAGGACCTTTACCCACTTCAACAACTTTTTTTTCCAAAAAACACAGAAGCAATCGAATGTCAGTTTCGCGTTCATTTCCCGAAATATAGTTGGTATCTTTTGGAGACTACTGAATTTTTTTAAATGGATATAAGATTTTTATATGAGAGGAAATGAAGTTAGGTATGTTCTCCAACAAACGAAAACATATCAAAAAAAAAAAAAAAAATTACATGGAAAAAAGTTACTTTTAGAATTTTCCAATTGTCCGACTTTTTCTCAGGAAATGTATAAGGTTTTTTTTTTGTATTTCTTAACCTTACTAGATCCACAATCAACAACCTCTCGAGCCTTAGCGCCACTAACAAACAAACATTAATTTTTGTATATTAAGATAAAGTTCATTTTCTAATTACGATCGCCCGTTGGACATAGAATATCTTCGGAGGTGGCTTAAAATAAACTCCAGCTTTTGGAGGAAATACAGCAATAGGCACACCACAAATTGGAAGAGTTCGACCGAAAATTGCTTCAGTAATTATAAAGCGCTTCTTTAAGTGGGTGTCTAACAGGGCATCAACATACTGGAAAATCCCGTAAGCGCTTTTGGTATATAAAACCGTGCAAAAAAGAATCGGATGAGATTTCAAAACCTGTTTACAAACGGGCTCGGGGCGATAATATTTAAAATTCAACTAAATAAATTATCTATATAACGTCAAAAAGAAACATTTATATTAAACAAAAATAGTTAGTTTGAATTTTTTTTATTCCTTAGTATTTGAAATATTTAATATAAAACAAAACTTTTTTAATTAATTTCAATTAAAACCATTTGTAAATAAATGAACAATCGAAACGCGAGGGATTTTATTTAAGAAGCGTATTTGGCAAGACGCTTGACAGCTTGATGTTTGCTAGCTTAGACGCTTAACAACACCAGGAACTGCTGAAAAACGCCAGTTCCTAAGTGGTGTAAGCTTGTCGTACAAAACTATTGGAGCACCCTCTCGCTCCACAAATTTTGAAGAGTCAAAGGGGTCAATAAATTCTCAACGCAACAAACGTGTTTTGTAAGACGCTCGATAGCTTGCATGTTTGTTTGATTATACGCTTAATAATACCAGGAACTGGTAAAGAATGCGAGTTCCTAGGTGGTGTAAGCTTGACTTATATAGCCATTGGAGCATCCCTAGTTCCAAAAATTTTGAAGCACTTGCTGAAAGGATTGTAATATATGTATAATAGTTTAACTTTCTAGAAAGCGCTATAATATTGTCCTTCTCAATATTTTCAGAACTAATTTGCATTTTATTATCCAAAAATTTAATTCGGATAAAATTTGCGTGTGTGAAAATGATCCTGAAAATTCCCAGAAATTGTGGAATAATAAATGTTTTATGTCGTGGCCAGGCGATTGGAACACTTTCCACAGTCTCCGGACCTCCACCATCTTGAACAAAATCGCAATATAAATATAAGAACTGTCACTCTATCGGCGACTTATTCGGTTTAGGTGAACAAGTAATACTAGAATAAGTACATCTTCGGATCAATGTGTCGCAGCAGGGTTGTGTCCTCGCTGTAGGACTCTACACCTCCTCCATCCCGTATTACAAACGTTATCTCGAGACAGACTGGATTACTACTATTCAACAGCGATGGTCTGCTGAAAAAGATCGTCGAGATAGTCCACTTCATGACCCAGAAGCATTTACCAAGAACCGAACCGACCATTGTGGAGGCTTGACGATCATCCTAGTAGACAAAATGAAGCGAACATCAGCAATGCGCTGGACTCTCCAGGGGTGGTTTTCGGGGGTTATCGGGAAAGTAAAATACTTGAAATCCATTGGCTCTGAGGAAATAAAAATGCTGAGGCTAAAAAACCTGGGATCAGGGGCAGCAGACTACCTCACCAAGATTCTCAATCTGTTTCTGAACATCTTAATAATACGTGACATAAAGGAAATGGTT